ATACAAGTGTCAGAGAAGACTCTCTTAACCGCTTGGTTGCAAGTTGTGCAAACGATGCGAAGATTGCAGGTATCTGTGGTGAAACCAGTTTGCAGAATGAGGAGCGAAGTTGGTGGACTATGATTCAAGTCTACGAGTACTACATTTCTCATCACTTGGCTAAATCTTTCGAGTCTCTTTTTGGCAGCGTTACCTGTCTTCCTGGATGGTAAGCGTTCTTCCGCTGGCAATCATATCAAGTTAATGTGCTAACCTTATACCAGTTTCTCTATGTACCGACTTCGTACCCAGGACAAGGGCCGACCATTGATCATTTCTGAAAAGGTCATTAGCGAATACGCTGATGTCCGTGTGGATACCCTGCATCAGAAGAACTTGTTGTCCCTTGGAGAAGATCGATTCCTCACAACGCTGATGACCAAACACTTCCCTCACATGTCTTACAAGTTCATTCCAGATGCATATGCCAGCACAGCTGCTCCAGAAACATGGCAAGTTCTCATGTCCCAGAGACGTCGTTGGATTAACTCTACTATCCATAACTTGGCTGAGCTTATGCTCCTCAAGGACCTCTGTGGTTTCTGCTGCTTCAGTATGAGATTCGTCGTTTTCATTGACTTGTTCGGAACTCTGATCCTCCCTGCCACGACCGTCTACCTTGGATACCTCATCTACCTCGTTGCAGCCCATAAAGGACAATTCCCATTATTCTCTATTATTTTGATTGCTGCGGTGTACGGTCTGCAGGCCATCATCTTCATTATAAAACGCCAATGGCAACACATCGGTTGGATGATCATCTATTTGATGGCATTTCCCTTCTACAGTTTCATTCTGCCTCTCTACTCCTTCTGGCACCAAGACAACTTCACCTGGGGTAACACTCGTATTGTCATTGGAGAGAAAGGAGATAGGAAAGTCATTGCTGTTGAAGATGAACCATTTGACCCTAAGAGCATTCCTCTCCAGAGATGGGACACCTACGCCCTTATCCACAATCTCCCTGGCCGTCGCGGCAATCCTAACGCTCAAGAGAAGGCCGGTTTCCCTGGTTACAATGATGAGGCTGCTGTTGAGATGGATGACATGCAATCAATGTACTCATCTGTGAAGCCAGCTTCGACAATCCTGACTGGTTTCCCTACCCAGGGTGTCCAACAAACTCCCTATGTCCTCCCCCACTCTCCAAACCCCTACAGCAATCTTCCAGGAAACAGGAATTCCCATATGTCGCACTTTACTCACTACACTGACCAGCCTCAGCTGGGTAACCGTGCATCGCAACATCTGTCGGTTAGCAACTTGAGCCATTACCAAGACAATCCAACAAATGCCAGCCGTCTCAGTGGTTTTGGTGTACCGGGCTCCGAGAATTTTGCTCCATCCCAACGCCATAGCATGCGAAGCTCCATGCCACGGCCCGCTAGCACACTAGTAGACTTCAGGAACCCTCCTGGACAGGGCCCTGACGAAGCGACTATCACAGCTGCTATCCAGGCATGCCTTGGAGAAGTAGACCTCGACACTGTCACGAAGAAACAAGGTATGTATATATGACTCCCCAGATGGAAACTGGTACTAATACGTTTACTTAGTCCGTGTTCTTGTTGAACAACGACTACAAACAACTTTGTCCGGAGAAAAGAAGGCCTTCCTCGACCGACAAATTGATAATGAACTCGCCAACATGTGATTGCATTGAGCTTCTCTCTTGTCCCACATCCAACCTTCCCCTTCTACTTATTTCCTTTTAATCCTTGCTGGCTGGGAGTAGCTGCAAATACTTACCAATTTAATACGACGACACACCCTTCTATTCGCATCACATTTTCGGCCCCTCTAGTCTTGATACGCGGATCTCAGTATTTACGAAGCCGGATGTCCATCTCAGATGTGTTTTTGCCCTTCCGACCCCCTCAAAACCCCTTTGCACCCTCTCTTGTCTCTCCTCTTGTCTTTCTTGATGTATATTCGTTGTCTGATTTATCTTTTTCCTTTTTTTGGGTGACGGTTTGTTTTTCAATCATGTAACATGGGTATTCACTCTAATCTCCTGCCTATAATATCCTAGCAACCAAGTGAAACGGTACTTCTTTGTCGAGCGAACAAGAATAAAACAAATACACTATAGCTACTATCTAATCTATTTGGCCATGAATGTACTTTTTCTTTCTTTGCGTCTTTGTTGGTTTCACGGCGCTCAATGCATCATTTGTCTTGCCGGCATGTCTATTGGATGATATTGAATGGCTTTGCCTCTCTCGACTCGCATAGATATCAAAAGCTGCTCGTCTGGCGTCTTCTTTCCTTCCTACTCTTCCTTCGCTGGATCCTCCGAGAGCTTCTTGACGCCGCTCTTCTCGGATCCTTCCTGCAGATCCCTGGTGTCCGGGGGAGAAGCCGTGCAGCATAAGGCGTATGACCCCAGATGTATAGACGCCCTACAGAGTTTATTTATCCCAAATGTACGCAACCTCGATATCAAGTATGGATACGAAGAGACTGTCGTTGCCTCGTAGGTACCTCACCAGTGATCAACCGCCTTACCCTCGGCTTTCTCTTGGAAGTGGAGTGATCCAGCTCAGTCAACAAACTAGTTATCTGCGCAAACTCCAGTTAACTCCGTGTATGGACATCATCTCCCTCGCCGGGGTTATATATTTAACTGACCGTTATCTCTATTTTTCTAGGAAAATTCACCTACCTGCCACAATTAATGCGTCCGTGATTAACCTGTTATTTGATATAAGAGCGGCTTGAAGGCTCTTAAATCGTTTATTTTCATCGATATATAACTCAACCGCTCGAATACCATTTAACGAGCCATTCTTCGGCTAATATCCCCTACAGCCAGTTTTGTGCATTTACAAGGCAGAGATGTAAGGAATATATATACACCCATATCCATTGATACGGAATATGTTTCTTACAGACGGACTTCAATAGGGCATACACAACATCATATGCCATGCTCGAGGCGTTGTGGGATGTAAATCACCCCGCCATATATGCAAAATTACCATGGAAAAATCTGCCCATTCAATTTGACGGTGTTATTAATGTTTGAATCTACCAGGCCGGAGTTCGATATGTGTTTGCAAACCTTGGATCCGATCATCCTGCCATAATGGAGGCCATTGTCAAGGGACAGAGGGAACGCAAAGACCGATTCCCGAAGATCATTACATGTCCCCATGAGGTGAGACTCAGCCTAACTAGTGCTTCCACCTGGAATTCAATTGCATATGGCCGTCGCTAACTGATACGATGTAAAATTACAGATGGTAGCAATGTCAATGGCTGATGGCTATGCCCGTGTTAGCGGGACTCCCCAGTGTGTTCTAATCCATGTTGACGTAGGCACTCAAGGACTAGGACCTGCAGTCCACAATGCCTCTGTCGGCCGTACGCCCGTGTTTATCTTTGCTGGCTTGTCACCTTTCACCCAGGAAGGAGAACTTCGGGGGTCAAGATCGGAGTTTATACACTGGCTGCAAGATGTTCCTGACCAGAAACAGATAGTGGCTCAGTATTGTCGATACAGCGGTGAATTGAAAACTGGGAAAAATGTCAAACAGATGGTGAACAGGGCACTTCAGTTTGCTACCAGTGCACCTAAAGGTCCAGTCTACATGGTTGCAGGAAGAGAGGTGCTGGAGGAAGAAATTGAACCATATGCCCTAGACCAGAAGCAATGGACTCCGATCCTGTCCTCTGCTCTACCCCAGGATGCAGTGGAAACCCTATCAAAACGCCTGGTTGATGCCAAAAACCCGCTTGTGATAGTAGGGTATACCGGCCGCGATGAGAAAGGCATTACTGAGCTAGTGAAATTGGCAGAGTTGATAAAGGGACTTCGCGTGCTTGATACCGCCAAGTGCGAAATGTGCTTCCCAGCCGATCATGTTTCTTACGTGGGCGTGAGAGATGCCAAAGACGCAGTCGCTTCCGCCGAGGTCATACTAGTGGTCGACTGCGACGTCCCCTGGATTCCTACGCAGTCGAGGCCCGCCCCTGATGCATCTATATACCATATCGACGTGGATCCGTTGAAGAACCAGATGCCTCTGTTCTACATCCATTCTCAAGCAACTTATCGGGCAGATTCAGCCATTGCCTTTGGACAACTATACCGACATATCTCAGGCACAGCGGAATTCATGCAGACTCTAAAGTCGCCGGAATACCAGTCTCGTCACGCTCGGGTGGAAAATATCCACAAAGCCCGGATGCAGTCACTTGCAGAAATAGCAGCTACACCATCTGGAGTTGATGCGCCCCTGAACATACCATATGTGGTATCACAGGCCCGCCAGGCATGTCCCAAAGATACGATATGGTGCGTTGAAGCTGTGTCCAATGCTGGCATAGTGTCAGAACACTTGCGAGCCACCTTGCCAGGCTCCTGGATTAATAGTGGAGGCGGTGGCCTAGGATGGTCTGGTGGTGCCGCGTTGGGTATCAAACTAGCTACTGACGACCGGGACGGCGGCAAGGGTCAAGGAAAGTTCGTCTGCCAAATTGTTGGCGACGGCACTTATCTGTTTAGCGTCCCCAGCTCTGTCTACTGGATTGCTCGTCGATATGAAATACCGGTGTTGACCATTGTGTTGAACAACAGAGGCTGGAATGCACCTCGTAACAGCCTTAACCTAGTCCACCCCAACGGAGAAGGCTCTCGAGTGACGAATGAAGAATTGAATATATCCTTTGCTCCCACACCGGACTACGCTGGTATTGCTAAAGCCGCTGCAGGAGGGAAATTGTGGGCCGGTAGGGCTGGAAGTGTAGAAGAGCTGGCTACGAAGCTCCCTGAGGCTATCAAAGCTGTCATGGGCGGGACAGCAGCTGTACTTGAAGCACAGCTGAACGGCAGAGAAGGGGCTTATACTGAAAATTAAATTAGCCGTATAGTTAACCACCTTGCTATTCGTACTCGCTATCTAAAGCCCGAGAATTCCAGCTTGGAAACATGAGTGATGCCTTGTTAGTTATCGTCTTTATCCGAATACAAATCTTTTCCAGTTTTCAGCAAGTATTCGGGTCCCCTTTTCCAACGACCAACCACGTACATCACACACTTGTCTAACGATCTGTTCCAGCAGATCATCCATCCGCTGGCCAGCACAATGTACATCACTTTCAATCAGTATCCTATCCTCCGGCAGGGCACTAATCACACTTGAAGACTTTGCATTAGAGCCGTTGGGGAAGTTGATCACTTCCGAGAAAGAAAAGTATACGTCCAGGGGAACCTTTGGATGGAAGAACTGGGATAGCGGATCTACCGGACCTGAGTAGGAATGCATGCATACTCGAGGCGGGAAGGGCATGGGTTTATTCTGCAACTTCCTCGACGGACTCCCTTCATCTGACGTCGATGGAGAGATATCTTCACCTTCATGGGCTCGGGGTGCGCTTGAACTTCTCTTGCGCTGTCGATTGGATATGACTTTTTTCTCATGTCCGGCCCAGAGCTCCTGGAGTACTTCGATAGTGGCTCCATGTGCCTGGACGCTATGTAGGGAGACAGGCCGTTGTAGCTCCCCTGCCAACCGTAGCTGAGCCTTGAGTATGGCTCTCTGGTGTTCCATTCTGACACGGTATGGAGAGAGCCCCCTTCCCCCTCTGGTGCCGGGAGTTATGGAGGGATCAGACGAAGGCATGCTTTCATCTCCATCCCCATCACCTGTACCTGAGCTCCATGCTTTTGGTATTCGAAAGGACTTGTCTAGTCCGATCTCGCCGACGAGGGCGTACGGGTGTCTCTGTAATCTCTCCTTGGTGTTTGATATCAATGCCAGCAGGGAGAATGGGACAGGCAGTTCATTTAAGAGCTCTTCATCCTCGATTGAAGGTGTTAATACGCTCTTGTAGTGCTCTATCTTTATTGATGCCAGGTATTCGCTGTCCCTGGGCTGAGCATCCTTCGTATCATCGAATATCTGGTGCGAGAACCACGGATGCCACCCGAAGCAAGGGATGATACGGTCACCGCGCGTCTCACCAGCCTGATGACTGCTCTTGCTGGAGTCTTTATATTGTAGTGCTACCTGGGAAACGAGCTCCTGGTCCTGCTCGCGCGTTGCCATGATTGTCAGGGCGGCTGCTTTCATGTCTTTGATATCCTCGATGGCGGACATCGTGTCCGTTGGATGGCAGTGAGCATCGTAGACGCCGATGTCCCACGGGAACGGGTCTGAGGCCGTAGACTGCTCGGTCTGCATCGTTCTAGGGTATATATCAAATACGTTCTTTTACCTTGGAGAGTGTTTTGTCTCTTAACTTGACGTCGATGTTGATGTTTGATGTTGACGTTGTTTAGTAGCAAGAAAAAACCAGCTTGGCCAGCCAACTGCAACTGCTGAATAGTCGACTACTACAGGGAAGTCCATCTGGTATGTTCAAAATTTGTATAATCTACGGAACAGACAGTCTATATCTATCTCGAGGCTGCTGTCCAATGCTATTTAGGTACCACACAGTCTATCTATTAATGTGTGGTGACGGTCTGCAAATCAACCTCCAGGGACGGCGCAGGCAAATATATCCAACCGAACAGTTTGACAGCAACAAAAAGCAAAAGAAACAAGGAAATAATAAAAAAAAAAGAAAAAGACCACTCAAACTCCTCTAGTCTATAACCATCATGTTTCATCCTTCATTAGAGATGGCCTCCATTTCATCCAGGATCACCTTATTGAACTCCTCCCACCCGTCTAGATAGATATGGTGGCCGGCCTTTTTGATAACGACAACCTTGGCCGAACCACGGTCTGCAAGCCTTTCTTCAGGGCTGGCGTCTTTGAGAATGCGCTCTCTCTCCTCGTCGATCTTCTTCTTCGCTGCGTGGCCGCCCTCGACGTCCATCCAGTCGTGGTCACCATACATCAGGACCACGGGGATACCGTTCTCCTTGCGCGGGACAGGCTGCGTGCCCGGGTTAGGTGCCGAAGCAGCAGTGACCGAGGTCGTGGACGAGGATGGCTGTGGGCTGGCGGAGGAATCTGCAGAGGAGGAGAGACTGGTCTGGGAGGCGGACGAAGGGACGGGTTCTCTGATGAGCTGGCGGCCCACGCCGTGGATTCGATTGATGAGGGGTTTGCGGGCGTATGCGCCGGGAGCGAGGATGTATGAGAGCGCATACTCGCCACTGCCACGCATTCTGAAGATGGAGTATGCATAGTCATGCAGGGCCTTTGATTCCGGCTGAGGCAGATGGGAGAAGCGTCGGGACGTCCAGCCGGATACAAGGCGAGGGCCAAGGGGGCCAGACCAGCGAACAAAGGAGAAAGGGGAGACGTTTGAGTCCCAGAGATAGGTCAGCCATTTGGGCAGGGGCCGCAGGAGAGGAGGAGTCCTGGCTGCGAGGCCATTGTTGTTGTTGTTGTTGTTATTGGCGTTGCCGGTGGTTGCGTCCTGGCTCTCAGTGAACTCGGCGGACAAGGTCGACTCTGACGGCTCGGTAAGCTCTGTGTCGACAGCCCGGGGATCCTTTGGTATTCCCACGGGGGAGGCGAGGATGAGCTTGTTGAGACGGCCGGGGTACTTGAGGGCGTAGGCAACGGCCATGTATCCTCCCAGGCTGTGGCCCATCAGGGTGAAGCGTTCAATCTTCCGCTTGACACGCCATTCCTCCAGGGCGTCGATGAACCAGTCCTCGGCCTCGGTGACGGCCTGGTCTCGCTCTTTGGCGTGGATCTTGAAGGGCGGGCGGGTGCTGCGTCCCATGCCGAGCAGGTCGAGGGCGTAGAGCTGCCATCCTTTGGCACGGCTGAGGCTCTCGAAGTTCTTGTAGAAGAAACCGAGCCCGGCCCCGTACCCATGCAGGACGACGAGGTTGTTCTCGACCTTCTCGCCCACGCGCTCGACGGAGAACTCGTTCAGGGCCCGATTGTCGCCGCTGAGCTGCACCATGCTGGACCGCCATCTGCGGGGGCCGTAAGGGTCGTCGATCGAGTTGGCGGACACCTGGCCCTCCTGGGAGGTGTCCGCAGCCGTCAGACTGTCGGCCGCCTGGCCATCGGGGACTGACGGCTCCTTGCCGGTCTGCTTGTGCGTGGGCACCTGCTGCAGGTAAGGGATGAAGGAGAGGACGCTGTGCTCAGCGGTGGCTGCGGGCATGCAAGTCCACTACACACCCACGTTAGCAACGAACGAATAAGCCAGAAAACAAGATCAAGAGCTGGAGACGAACCCATTGGCTGAATCCTTCCTTGTAGCCCAGCGGGAAGAAGCTCGACGGCTGCTTTGCCTGCGCCGGCTGTTCTGCTGCTGGCGAGGCCGTGGATGCTGCCTGCGTAGAGGCCATGGCAGCGTCCGACCAGCCGTCCGGGCGCGACGAAGGGGCAGAGGAGTCGAAGGGCGTCTGCGAGCGAGGCGCACTCAGCGTAGAAGCCGGCAGGGACGTTAATATCGAAGCTGATGCTGATGAAGTTGCAGTTGTAGCTGAAGCTGGCTGGTGGTGGTGAAGGAGCAGCGGGGGACGCGGCGAGCGGGCGGCGGCGATGAGAGGCAGCGCTGGGATTCTGCTTGAAGACAGCTTGACAGCGGACGGCCGAGCGACAGAGACGAGCCTGTCACTCTTCTTCTTCTGGATCTCGACTCTGGATCTCGACTTGTGATTGTTTCTCCTTGACTCTGGATATATCACTGTCGATGCTTCGTCCGGGGGAGTTAAGCCGGAGTTTGGCCGTCGGACGGAGCAGTCAGGGCGTTGCGTGGCGGGCGAGGATGGACGGCGAGGAGGCAGTGCAGCGGACAGACATAGCAGGAAAAGACAGTAGCAGGGCAGACGGAGCTGTAGACAAGCTGTAGATGAAGCCGTAGAGTAGGTGAAGATGAAGATGAAGAAGTAGGAGTAGGAGAAGTGGTGATCCATGCCAATAACACCAACTATCTAGCTAACTAACTCAACGTCGCCGGCTTTCTATACAGCAAAGACAGCAAGACAGCAACAGGACCTCAACGACCGCTACAACGGCCAGCCAGCGTTCGCACAGCTAGAATGACCGCGGAGGAGTGCTAGAGAGACATGTCGCAGCTCGACCAGATCGTCAAAGGCGCGCCGCCGCCCGAGATCCAGGTGCACCGGCCAGACACAGGCAGCCTGCCTCCCCCATCGCCCTCGCCCTCGCCCTCGCCCTCACCGGCGCCCTTGTCTTCGAGCTCGCAGGAGTCGTCTGTGACGGCCGCTGCGCCCGATCCGCTGTCCGCGCTGCCCTCCTCGCCGCCGCAGATATACCTGAACCTGCTCATCGTCGAGTCCGCCCTGCGCGCGCAGTACCTGGCGCTGCGGGCCCGGCGCCGCCAGAACACCTTCTTCCTGCTGCTGCTGGCCCTCTGGATCGTCTACTTCACCTATGCCCTCTTCTTCCGGCCGCGCGAGGACGGCAGAGGGCTCGGCGGCTCCGTCTACTGGGTCGTCGAGACCGGCGAGAAGGTCGCCCTCACCGGCGGCGTCGTCACGGCCATCCTCATCTGGGGCACCGGCCAGTGGGAGCGAGGCATGCGGTGGCCGCAGCGCTGGCTGGGGGTCACCAACCGGGGCATCCGGGGCATGAATGCAAAGGTCGTGGTCATCCCGGGCCCCTGGTGGAAGGAATTGCTCTCCTACATATCCTTCATCTTCCCTTACTCGGCCTTTTTCCCATCCAACACATCTTTCCACTACGTCGAGTACGAGAGGCCAGTCTCTGCCTCTGCCTCTGCTGCGGCTGCGGCTGCGGCTGCTGCTTCTGCTTCGGCTGGGGACAGGCCTGCCAGCCGCAGACGCCGGGGAAGCTCAGTGACCAGTCTGCGCCAGCCGCCGGACGAAGAAAACCGCATTGGGGTCGAGGAAGACCTGGCTCCCGGGGGTGACTACATACGGCTGCTCTTGCTGCCCAAATCATTCTCCCCGGCCTTCCGCAAGAACTGGGACGAGTACCGGACCGACTACTGGGAGAAGGAGAACGAACGGCGCGCTCGTCTGCGCCAGAAGGTCAAGGAGTTCACCCGCCAACAGGCCAGAGCAAACGCCGGCTGGCTCTGGTGGGCCAAATGGAGATACTGGAGACAAAGCTACCCGCGTGCTATACCCGTCATCAGCAAGAGTGGCCGGGACATCGAGAGATATACCCATCACAGGGCCTCGCACTCCCGCAATTGGAACGCCAGCGAGCGGGAGAAACTCCGCCGGACGCCCCCCTACGCTGACTCGCACTCACACTCGCACTCGCACTCGCACTCGAGGACGTCTTCTCGAAGCTCAACGCCCCATGCCGTCTCTGACGTCGAGGACAAGCTGCCTCTTGACCGTGAGCGGCGGTCGTCTGTCTCCCGCCGCGGCAGTGGTGGTTCTCCCGGCACGCCCAAGAGGAACAAGTCGGTCTCTCAGACAGCTTCGGGATCAAGCAGGTTCTCTACCCCCTTGACTCCCCTGTCAGCCAGCGGCAGTGATGAGGGTTCGTGATAGCAAGAAACAAAAGCAAAAAGAATGCATTTTTTACTTTGGTAAGCAGTCATGCATTAGAGCGTTTGGAGATATATAGCCTGTTTTATGTCTAGCATTGAATCAATTACAATTTCTTCTACATCCACAGCTTTGCAATTGGTATCTCAAACATCAATAATAACTGGTTGACTACCAGCTAGTTGCTTCATAGTATAAGCCAGTTATTTGAGATAAAGTGGTTATTTACATACTATCTCACAACTCCTTTGCAATTTCTTCTAGGCCACACTACGTAGAAACAACAACAAAATAAGAATAAAAAATAAAATAAAATAAAATAAAATAAAATAAAATAAAAAATGTCTTCTTAATATATATGGTATCTGGCGTCTTCAACCGGCTAAAAGAACTAGACAACACCCATAGTTAAGCGACACACCAAGGCTACTCCTCGAGGTCTTCTTTTTCCTCATCCTCCTCTTCCTCATCTTCGGCATCATCCCCATCTTTGCTAGGAGGAGATGGTATCAACATGCTATTTGCGAGGTTGATGGCCATGGTGTCCTCAGTTTCGTCCACGTTTGTCGTGGAGTTGTCGCCATCGAACGTCGTGGATTTATAGAATACCTCAGGGAGGTAGTGGTCGGACACCCGACGAGCGAGGTTTATGAGCATTGAGCGACGCAGATACTCGCCGGGTGTAGCCCACATACATCTCCCGGTCTCAACCTCCTGCACCCAGTCCAACCTGCCCTGGGTTTTCAGCATCAGGTACGTCATGACGTACCGGAAGTAGAGGTACCGTCTAGCAGGCCGGTTATTTCCGAGGAATGTCAACGTCTTGCCATGCAGAAACTAATGGGTGTCAGTATATACTTTAGCGGTTGATAGATTGGTAGCTAAGGCGGAGGAGGTCTTCTTACATTCCACTTGGCTCCACCGGCAGCGACGTGCTTGAGGAGGGCTGGGTCTGTGACAACGAGCTTCCATTGGACGATTTCGTCTGCGGCTGATGGTGCTTTCACTGGTACAACCACTACGTTTCCCATGTCCATTGCCATTTCGATGTTCTTTTCAAGCATGAGACCTAGCGTACGTTAACTACCATTGATCGAAGACAGGGCGAAGTATAAGGGTTATGAACTCACTATTTCTAGGGTCATCTATAGTAACCTCCCTGGCCCCAAATAAGTGGACAACTGACATTTCATCTAGGCTCTTGGGGACAAGATGGGCTGCTCGGACTTCGCTCGACGGGAGCCACCCTAAGACATGGCAGAATGCAAGTTTGCGTGGCACAAAGTCCGTTTCCTCTATTTTGGACGCCTCGTAAAAGACTTCAACAGCCTGGCGGAATGAATTTTCCTTGAACTTGGTCTTTGCCTGGTTCCCGGATGCTGACGCTATCTTAGCCGCCATAGCATCGACATATGCAGACTCAAGCTCTTTATACTGGGGCATTGCAGCTTCCATGTCTTCTTGTATGAGTTTCTTCTGGAGTTTAATGACACGGATTTCTCTGTTTAGCGGCATAGATGCGAGTGCCAGGTCTTTGATGGTATCTAACGCCACAAGGGGTGGCAGGCGTCCGAGGCGCGAGAGATCATGGATGGCAGTTTTGCAGTCTTCAATATAGTCAACTTCTGATTCAAGCGCATCTATCTTGGTGGCCAGAAAATCTGAAGAGGTAGAGACACTCGACGCTGAGGAAGCCTGACGCATCCGTTTCCTTGACTCAGCCAAAGCTGTTCGCTGCTCATCAGTGAGCATGGCATGGTAGGCCTCGGGGAGGTGTTCCTTTTCAGTTTGCTGGCTCGACATTATGGGAATAACGGAGGAGTGTAGTCAAAGTAAGAGTCGAGTCCGAGATACCGTCAAAGTGAGGCAGAGGATGAGAGCCGAAAGGGTTTCAAGTAAGAGCTGACGCCGGTGTCTCCTGTGAGAACGACTGTAGACAGGGAACAACCGTGAAGTGAGGATGACCAGACCGGGAAAAGAGAAGAGAGGACTTGGAGGATATCGGGGATATTGGAGATATTTATACCCAGGACAGGACAGGACAGGATAAGTCAACTGTCACTGTCGCCGCCGCTTGCGCAGGTGAGGTCTGTCGTTCCTGTCGTCACTCTTCTGGCAGCCGCCCAAAGTGAATAGACAAGCCATCGGCTATGTCGTCATCGACCGCATTTTGGCATAAGTTGCATAACCCGGCATGCCTACCTATAACCAGCAAAGGGTATCGGACGGACATGCTGCTATATTAGATAGCCAGTCGTCATCTCGCTTCATCCATCGACCTCTCACCACCCTCCTCGTACAAAGGGAGAAGAATGTTGTTTGGGTATATGTAATTAATTAGATCACCGATAACTACAAAATAATTATAACGAGCGAGAGAGACACGGAGTAAGTAGTAAAGAGGCAGAAGTAGCAGGATGTGTCGCACGTGACCATCACCTGACTGTGCCTGAGTCAGCAGGAAAGAGTTGCGAACCTTCTATAAACCCCCTATATACCTAATGGACGCAGAGAAGGACATTGCCAATACAGAGATTTAGATCTCTCACACAACGTGTATTATAACTATTTAAAGGAGATACAAGGTCGGTGTGTAAACCAGTGAAGCTACCACGGTACTTTTGAATAGGAATAATATATCAACTCGCCGTCATTCATTACAGATCTATGGAAAGAAAACATCAGAGTACTCATAGTCGGTAAACGGTCTCATCACCAAGATACCTAGTAGCACCTGAGTCAGCCTATGTGCCGGAATTTACAAGGGTATAAATATTAAAAGGAGAACTTACATGATTTCGTTTCGGTCATTCATTACGGCCAAAGCTTGGAGTGCCTCGGCCAATTCAAACTCACCATCACTTCCTGCACTGGACGACCGTACGGAAGTGTTAACAGCCTCAACGACCTTCTGCACATCCGCAGAATCTCCCTGGAACAGATCAGACCTCATAAGTGGGCCGAGAGCTTGTCGGAACGTGCTCAGACGAGCTGGTGGGAGTGGAGGTAGGGATGCGGATGCTGCGACCGCATTTGCCAGGATATCCGCCTGGGATTCTGTGTTGTCTGTCTCCTGAGATTCAAGAAGCTGGGATGCTGGATGTGACGAGGCCACAGACATTTGCGATTGGGACTGTGTTTGTTGGCTTCGTGTCTGTCTAGACGACGAGGGCGCTGCCCGGCCACTAGGAGAAGCGTTGTATGTGCCATCCTCGTCATCGTCATCATCATCATCATCAGCAATACTAGTACCATTTACGCCAGGAGTAGATGTTGCTCTGGAGCCTCTGAGGCCCGGCCGGTTGCTGGACCGAGCTCCTGCAGCCGATTGTGTCGTCCTCCTGCGTGGTGTATAGTCTCCCTCATCGTCATTGTCAGAATCCTCTGAATCAGAGTCCGATTCTGGTATATTGGCAGTCTTGCGTCTCTTGCGTCTCTCATCTTCAACCACTTCCTTGAATAGAGCAAATCGGAGAATAGCTTCAGCAGCCTTGGCGTCCTTCTCATCTACTCGGTTGGACAGACGTGCCTTTGCATGAGCCGTGGAGAGACGGATTAAGGTCTCGAGCGTACGAGCAGTCATGGGAGATGTCTTCCTCTGATTTCCAAGTAGCTCGTCATTTCGGAGGGCAGAGTATGTGCTCACAATATGGTCGGCGGCACCCTTGCTGAGAATTGGCTTGATTCGTGATTTCGCATATTGGATATATTTCTTGACAAAGGGAAGGCTGAGCACTTCTACCTTCTTGCCAGCCCTTCTACCACTCTGAGAGATGCCGGCATGAAGCATAACATTGAACTTCTCGTACACTTCGGTGGTTCGGTTCTTGTCCTGGCTTTCTTCCAGCCCGACCCCAAGACTGGAGCCAGCTTGCTCACGAACGGGAGCCCCTTCTTCCTGTCTTGGGTCACGGTACTGATGCATTCGTAGAACATGCTCAGAAACGAGCCTATCCCTCTTGTCATCAATATCGTCAGTAACCACGAAGAGAAGATCGAAACGTGACAAAAGTGAGTCGGGCAAAGCAATGTTCTTATGCGGGTCTTTATGCGTATCATATTGGCCAAAGATTGGATTTGCGGCTGCAATGACACTACACCGCGCATTTAAAGACGTATGAATGCCGGCCTTTGCAATCGTGACGGTCTGTTGTTCCATAACTTCGTGGATTGCAACTCGATCAACATCGCTCATCTTGTCGAACTCGTCAATGCACACTACTCCTCGATCTCCCAAGACCATAGCACCAGCTTCTAGCCTACGCTCTCCGGTTTCTTTATCGGTGGTCACGGCGGCAGTAAGACCAACACCAGACGAACCTCGGCCGGTGGTGGCAATTGCCAATGGAGCAGTGTTGAGGACAAATCGTAGAAGTTGGGATTTGGCTGTCGACGGGTCACCAACCATTAGAATATTGATGTCTCCACGAAGATGGGTTCCGTTATCCAGATTCTTTTCCATTCCACCCAACAACATGAGCAATATAGCTCTTTTGATATAATCATGGCCATATATACTTGGTGCAAGGGACTGGGAAAGAAGATCAAATATATTCTTCTTCTTTGCCAGCTTATTAATATTTCTAACATCCGTGTCCGTGATCGTGGGTTGGACAATTCCTCCTCCAGACTTGGAGGCGAGGTGGATGACATTGTTTGCAATAACCACTGTGCGGAAAGTTGAACTGCTAGAGTTTGTATTTCGATTTCCAAGAGATCGGTAAACTCCTACGAGCTGTATCCTGTCTCCTGGTTTAGCCCTGTCAACAAGATCATCATCAAGGATAACATCAACGCCACGTGGAAGCTGTCCAGCAGGTGCCCTTTCTGGCATTTCTTGTATAGAGATCATTTGGTGGTCTCTGTATTTGCAGTATCCGTATTCGGTTATAAGCTTTGTTCATTCGTTAGTAAACACAGAGCGTCCCCAATGGCTTCTGAAGGTGGCTTCTCACTGGATTTCCATGTTCATCCTGCTGAGGATACACATTTAAACTTGTTGATCCACTGGCTGTCATTGTTTGATCCTGGTATGTCCTTGACAAAAAGGCTTTGGCTTTGGGGTTGTAATGAACGCTTCGAATAATCTTGGGTCTGACGAGGGAGCATTTTGTTACGATGCCCTCCAGGGCGATCATTCGGTTTAAATGTGATGAGCTGAGTGTTCGAGGATTGCAAGCATATTCACCAAACGCACCAACATATGCGCAGTGATATTCCTATCCACCGATTAGATTTGGGCCTGCGGGATGTAGTGGTACTATCTTAACGCACAGTTTCATCTGCATCTTCGCTTCGTGGTTGAGTGGCTATGGTTGTGACGATTTCTCGCAATGCTTGATCAAATGCCAATGTATACTCAAAGGGTGAAGTGAGTAGTCTATTCAAGTGTGAGAATTCGTTTCGTTCAAGTTTAATGCTGACGGGGTTATACCCTTTTGCTAGCTCTGGGCTGTGGGCTCTGATATCGTCGATACTAATCTAGAAGAGAGAGGGCCATTAGCATGATTATATTTCCCTTTGTTCCTTGAATCTGAGTTATGCGAGTGCAGTTATGTACCGTGAATCTGCGAAGTCCTCTATTTATCATCACAGCTATGTCTGCGCGGTAACTACAGGACGTTAGAATCGGCGATTCGTTGTAATACTTGGTATAAAACTACCTTCGAGCTCGGGGATCAACTAACGGAGACTTGTTAGAGCTTAGAACAACTATGTGAGATCAATTATATCAGAACTAACCAGGGTCAAGGAACTCCGTTGCCGCTCGCTTGTTATCGCGCGCAGCTTCATCTCGAAGCAGCGGGGGGCCATCCATATTGAGTAAGGGGGATTCTAAGATATCAGGGAGAAAGACGTTGTTGAGTCAAATTGCAAAGGCAAACTGCAGCTTTGAGATACTTTTTCAGCTGGCCGAGAAGACAGATTAGTTATCTAGGACTGTGACACTTGCTGGGTGTCTTTTTTTGACTTGTTGAAGTTGCGAAAGAAGAAAATCCTCATAAAACGCGAGACTTACACGCGACACGCGAATTAAAGTGGTTTTTGGAAGACGCGCGTTAACTAGGCCAATGAGAAGGCAAGTTTTACTTGCTGCCCGACAACACTCGAAAGAAGATTAATTACTCATTCAAGATGGATATAACTATAATACATAGGGTTGATGTTGGTACATTAGGGAACTCTCTAGACAAAGATTATAACACTGCTTTGAGCAGGGATATACTATATACAGATTTTGTGGATGAGCCATGACTACTTTTCAGTTTCTTCAAACGCAGAGCGGCGTATGTAGTTATCCAAGTCCCACTGATCCTCAGGGCTTAATACTCGCTCGGCAAAAGGAACAGCGTTTGATTGCTCTGATACGCCCAGCCTCTGCCGGCGGGACATGTCTTCGGCCAACAAAGAGTCCAACAACGGCGGCGCTGGCTCAGTAGATTCGAAAACATTGGGCTGCTCATGAATCTCAGGTGTCCATTCAGAGTCGGATTTGTCTTCATCCTCTCGAACATCATTATCCTCTTCAAAAGGAGATTCCACCTCGCCAGTATTGATTCGTTCACTTCCCTCTCCCAAAACACCGCCGGTCCATACGTCGTCGTTGGAAATTTCAACTCTTGGAAGTCGCTCTATATCGGCCTGATCGGCCTTGTAGCGGCGAAGGATATTTTGGAATTTTTCCTCCAAGTATGGGATCGTAGCAACGGCAGTGTATGTTTTAGGTGCCTTAGAAAATAACTCATTCATCTCTTTTCCTCCGTCAACGATTGATCGGGATCGGAAATCAATAAGGGCGGAAGCAAGGTGAAGGATATTGAGATGAGTAGGCTGCATGTAATCCGGCTGAACCTTTGCCCACAGAGCACGGACCTTACGCCCAATCATACGACCAGGCTTTCCTCGGCGGAAAGGCCCTTCCATGAGATCCATTTCCATATGTGCACCCTCCGGCCTAAGGGTATACCCACGCTTTATATACCTCCAACCTGGGTAGTTGGGCATGAACTTCTCCTCGAAAATAGTGAATGCCCGCATCTGGGAGGCAGGGTCACGGGAAAGACAGAGAATATTAACATATAGAGACCAATTATGTGTGCTGAATGCAAACCCAAGCTTTTCAATCTGTTTCACAAGATCCGCGATTTTTAAGTGGAGATTCTGTGATGATAGAGATCGCATATAAGTCGAAATGCAGTGTGAAAGATCAAAGCGGTGAGATGGAAGGACCGTTGGTGTCTTGGTGCAAAAAGTAACTTCAGCTGGGCCCTTCTTGCTAACCCTGGGTGCCGCAAGAAATCCAGTTGGGCGTGATAAGGCTGCTTGGACATTGATTCCGCGCGAGCGCTGGAGGGTATGGGTAAGAGCAGCCTCGAAACATTTCTTGACTTCATAATGCTGATTTTTTGCTAGAAAGTTTACCATCAGAGCATGAAGTATCATAGGGGAATGTGGCAAGCGATCTGGGAGCGTGGATCTCGATTTCTGTGAAAATTCCAAGAATAGCTCTCCGACCTTTTCATCCCTGTTATTCCGCCCATACGCCCTGATAAGCTGTTCGTAAAATGCAGCAGGGAATGCCTCGCGCAATGATCGACCCCGGGCTCCAGGCTGCGGTTGTTTGGTACTGAAATCTTGGGTATCGAGCTGAGCCATGGCGGTTTTGAGAAGTTTTTCTGCATGTGGAAGGGCGAATTTTGCACTGGATGCGCTTCCCATTGTTTCCCTAGCCCGTCGGATATCACGATCAATTTGAGATTGAAGCATAGCCAAAGTTCCACTCAAGCCAGTTTTATTAAAACGTTCCATTATCTCAGTGTACAGTACTTGGACCATATCACGGTTTGTTTCCTGTACGTAGCCGTGGAGAAGGATGGCGTAATGGAATAGTGTTAAATGAATCTCGTGGTTTCTGTGCAAGACTCCCAAGATTTTGCGTGCAGAGTTCGTTTTGCCAACGCGAACAAGACTGGACATCATTGCGGCATATGTCATGCCATCAAATTGGATTCCTGCATCCTGCATGCGATTCTGTATTCTTAAAACGGCAGTGATATCAATGGTGTATGCGTAATTCCATAGGAGAATATTCCAAGTTCTGGTCATAGTACTGGCGGGAAATTTTGATGTAGCCTCTTCAGCCACCTTCTCAGCATCTAGGTACCTTCGATGTTTGCATAATACTTCAACCATGGTGTCGAACATAGAACGCTGTAGACGGACTCCGTTTCGCTTAGCCATGTCGAATAAATCCAAAACGGCCCTGATATCACCGCGCCCAGCAGACAAACCCATCAAAATGGTGAAGCTAACGGCATCGGGAGCCATGCCGCTCTGAAGCATTTGTTGGAATGTACGAAGCGCCCCTTCTAGGTTTTTATTTTTCGAATAGGCAGTAAGAAGAATGTTCCAGTACTGAACCCGTGGTTCAACCCCAAGTTCAGAAACATGGTTGAACCATTTTTGAGTTTCCTTCACGTCACCGGTTCTGGCATGGACATAGAGTAGTGGAGTTAAGATTTCAGTTGAATCTGCACGCCCATGGTCTGCTGTGTAGTCATTGTAAAAACGGAGTGTCGACGAAGTGTCACCAAGTCTCGCTGAGACAGTTAGGGCATCATGGTAAGCCAGTAGCGGTGGCTTGCCATAATGTAAGCGGTATTCGTCTAGGAGGTAATCGACACCTTCCAAGACCTCTATATTACACAACATATGCAGCAGCCCCGTGATCAATGCTTTTGGTGGAGTGATTTGAGGAATACGCCAACGGAAGTTGCGATATAGCATGATTGAACGACCATTTGCCGACCTGATCTTGGAAGATAGTAGAGATCTGATAGCCAGAATATAATCGTCATGGTTGAAGAGTTCAAGTTTGATGGAGTTTTCGAAAATCTTCAGTAACTCGTTCATTGACACCGACATCATAGCTCTATCATGAGAGATAACAAGCTGAACAATGTAGCGGGCCATCTCCGTTGTATCATTTGTATTGCGCTGCTGAACAACTTCGAGGAGAGCAAGCAACCGATTTGCTAACAGTTTCGACTGGCGGTCCACGGCTGGCAGTTTATTAGGTAGCGTATGAGGCTGAAGATTCCAAACGCTAAGAGCATTCTCCCAGTCCATGCGATTCACAAACTCCATAAATGCATATTGCCAACATTGCGTCTGGCCCCGCGCAGACGCTTCTCCACACAATTCCAAGGCAAAATTGGTATATGCTCTGCTTTTAGCATTCAAAGCAATCTTAACTGTGCTCAAATAATCACGCTCGCTGCGATTTGTTGGATTTATTCGTTCAAAAAGTAGTTGACAACGCTGAAAATCTCTGGGGTCCTGAGATGTCGAAAGGTATGATAAAAGATCTGATTCAAATCCTCTAGGAGAACCACTCGATCTATAGAGCCACCACGCAGCACCGTAATCTCGGGGGCCCTTATCTGTAAGGAATTTTCGGAGAACATCTGGACTCTCATTGGATCTAACATCGTTTGAAAAGGAATTTCCTGTGTCTAATGATTCCTCGGTAAGGCAGTTGCTGGCCGAAGAAGAGTATGTTCTGTATATATTTCTTTTTCTCCTGCTGAGGTTTCTCTTGGGTTCGGATTTATAGGTGCGGGCGAACAGCCGGGTTTTTGGAGGGTAGAGGAACTCGAGTGGTGTGGGTGGGAGAGTCGAGTCCAAGGGGGCATCATCGTTATTATGCTGCGCGGGCGGCCTCTTCCCTAACCTTGACTGGACGGCGTAGTAATATAAAAGGGACAGAGCGGAGGAGTCGTCGGTATTGCAGTGCCAGAATTTGGGGTGCAATATATGTCGTGACCGAAAGGTGTGCTTGGAACCGAGATAGACATGCTGGCTAGCATTCTCGATACACCGAACAGCACGCTCGAGCATTCCCTGGACTGCGAGCTAGCACACTTCTGAGAGGAATTGGCATTTCACAGCTGAAAGGGCATAATCGGGATGAAGTCAAGGGAAATTGGTTAAAGCATGAGAAAAAAAATTCCTCATGAGGTCGAAAAGTGTAGGTTGCACCAGTCTCGAGACGAAGTATGCCTCCCGGCCAAAATGGGTAATTAAGAAATCAACTTCTTATCCTCACGGAGCTGGATAACAGCCAATAAAATGAGCAGTGGAAGAGAGACGTTGGCAGCGAGTTGCTTGAGCTCGTCGTTTTGAATATCAAATTGAAGCTCTGGTCAGGAAAAGAAATGGAAGCACGTCGCTGAGTAAGCATATCGGATAATAGTTACAACTATTCCGAGATATTTTCAGCCCACAAATGCTTATGTAATCCATGTTAAATCGGAAAGTTGCTGGCGGGGAGAAAGAAAAGAAGCAGAAGCAAGAGAAAAGACGATTGATAGACGGATTATTGAGCGTGGAGACGCAGCTGGAGATTGAATAATACCATGGATATCACAGGATTCATCGTGACGCACAGGGCGGAAGCCCTTTCAATGGGCGACTACAACAAATATCGAGCGATGTTGACACGACGATTGCATACCCTCAACAAACGACTGGGGAGAACGACGCCCAAGAACAAGAAATTCTCCGGTAAAGTAGCTATCACATCTAGTGACATAACTAAAGATCATGGGTATGTGTTTGTGCAATTGGTAGTGTTATTACTGGTGCTAATGATGGCTATAGATATGTTCGGATACTACTTCTTTCCGCTGAGCGAGCATGGGCAGAAGCTATGCACATGCGATCCGTTCACTCTCAGGACACGTCAAAGAAAGGGATGGTTGGGTCAGCAAGGCGACACATAATCTCCAGGCTGACGAAGTCTACCGTCTACGCAAAGCAGCTGGCATCCGCACTTGAGAACCAGCAGGAATCAGGCGCTTCTCGAACCGACATCTTAGAAGCTCACGCATATCTGGCCACATTGATGACGACGTGTTGGATGGAGAGGCGACAATGGGAGAACTGCTTGAAACAAGCATCCCTGGCTCGAGTGTTGTATGCTGCGCTGGAGAAGCAGGATAAACAAGGAAATATCCAGGAAGTTATTTCGGGAACGGTTGACCCGAGCATACGCTACTCTGCGTACCAGCTTAAGATACCTCGATCAGTGCCTCTAAGCACGATTGCAAAGAAGTATTTCCCGGCAGACAGCCCCTTGAGGGGGAAAGTAGAAGCCATTGACCCACATTGTTTAAGTGAGGATACGGCCGAGGGAGGGCCAGATGCTGCTGCCGGATCAGGAGACGGCCAGACTTTCCCACAAACCATTACTTGGAGGTCAAGGACAGTGAAGATTGAAGATTCCGCGATATCACAGGCTCTGGCGTCTGCCGCTTCGGCAGAGGCTCAGCTGGTAGCTTGGATTGCCAAGCAAGGTGGTCAAAAGGCGTCTTCCAAAGAAACAGCAGCAAACTATGATAATGTGATAATTGCGAGCCAGGACGCTGTTGATGCAACGAAGGCGGCAATTGACGAGCTAACTAGTGAAGGGATAGACCAAGGGGATGCCCGGATGCAGAGTCTACAGATAACAAAGACGGCTGTCAACTACCGGCTCGTGGGATGGCGAGTTGGTCGGAATAGGGTGCTCTGTGGTGGTGCTGATGGGCTGAGCTTCGCTCCTCCGGCGGCTGCTCGCCGAAAGGGCAAAGAAGAAGACGGAGCGGAAACTCCCAAGCAAGAAAGCCTGGGTAGACGAATTGGTCGGCTTCGAGAACATGTGGTGTTGTATGATTCTATTTTGCAGAGTTTGGAGTCTGTCAAGGAGCTTCCCGGTGTTGCAGCCGATGCAGCTTTTGTTCGAGAACTTGAAGCCAAACTCTCCTACTTCAAGTCATTACGGTGGGTCTTTGCTTACCACAAAAACGAATAGATAGGTGAAAAACTAACGTGTGTGTGTACAGATGTCTCGCAATTGGAAGGTCTTATGCATTCAAGTCGGAGTCAAAAAACGCTCTTGCACTGTTCATCCGCGCAGACGAACTTGTATCCAAGGCTCTACCATCGTGCAGCGAGGAAACTGATGCATCGAGCCACCCACTCGGCGTCGACGTCACTCGATCCCAGGCGGAAGAGCTGCATGTCCAGCTTGAGCATCTTGTCTGGCAGTACCGTGGCATAGTGGAGATCGAGAAACTGGCCGCCGAGTCTGACCAACGAGACCCGGCAACGCTGCCCCCGGTGGTGCGGCGGATGCAAGAATACCACCTTGACGGGGTAGATCTCAGCAACCTTGTGGCCTATCCACCGAGGCTGGAGCCCATCCCCGTCAAACCCATCTTCCTCGATCTGGCGTGGAACTACATCCAGTATCCGATGGAGAAGAAGAAGGGCATCCTTCCTGATACCGCAGGGGCCACCAGTGCGGTGGGAGCTGAGCCGGCTCCATCTGCGGAGCCCAAGAAGGAGACCAAGAAGGGCTGGTTTGGATTTGGTCGCTAGACACCAGCCCACAGCAGATGTTATATAAACCGCATTTTAACAAACCCCAAAAAAAAAAAAAAAAAAATAAGACATATAAAAAGAAGAATTGTGATGATTGATTGAATAGTTATGGACACTACTATGATGGCATGGCCTCGTTAGTCCAACCTTTCTGACTGAGCACTAGGCGGTACCCGTCCGGGTCCTCGAGGGTGACCCCAAAGCGCTCCCAGTACTCGTTCCGCGCGGTGACTCTCTTCCCGCCCGCCGCCAGCAGCCTGTCGACGGTCCCCGGATCAACTGGGCCGTCCACGTAAAGCACCAAGAGATCCTCCTCCGTCGGCCTTGGGGGCGTCTCCCCCTGCGAGTCATCGACTATCTCCAGATGCCACGCTGCTCCGGGCCACCCCAGCATGACCAGCGCATGACCGCCGAGGGTCTCGGGTCCGCACCGCCAGAGTACGCTGAGGCCCAGCCCGTCAACGTAGAAGCGTTCCGTCCTGGCGATGTCGAGGGAGGGACGGGCGATGCGGAGATGGCATGAGGCGGATGGTGCCTTGCCGGAGCCGACTTGCCCGGCCAGCGGTGCAGGTGGCTGCCGGGCTGCATCGTGATGGGCCATGGGCGATTTGATATACGGAACTTTTCTTCTTTAGGCGTTCTTCGCAGCCTGCTATCCCTTGCTATCCCTTGCTATCCCTGCTGTGTCTTGATATATCGTTACTCTGACCTGTCTGATGCAGTCTCTTATATACTTATAGATGTCTCCCCCCCCCCACGGCCAAAGCCCAAGCCCTTTGCTGACAAATAGCTGGACGCACAAGTCGATTCTCCCGCTCTCTATCGGCAGCCTCGGAGTTTCTTGCGCTTTAGCTCACAAAAGAGTCGCTGCGATGGAGTCAACTAGTTGCGTCTAGCGGGCACACTCAGCCAAAATGCTTTTTACAATACGGGGGTTGCAGCATGGGAGAAGCCAGCTAGAAAGGCCAGCGAAGCCCTCGGAAGCGGCATGACTCAATTCTCGCAACACTAGCAGGCGCTTGCTCTAGGCTTGGGCGTTGTCTTCAACAATAATCTTCCTTCATCTGCCTCAAGTCGCCAGCAATCCTGGCGCATCCCGACCCCTTAATCCCGGCCAATAGTGGGAATAAAACGCCGTAAAAAAACTTACTCTTGGGATGCTTACTAGTTATACGGAGCGAGCTGGAAGCTCTTTCTGTCGGACTATGGGGCGACGGGCTGCAGTAAGAAGCGCCATCGGACCCAACGCCTTTTTCTTCTTTCTTACCTTTCTCTTCTTCTTCTTCTTCTTCTCTCTCTCTCTCACTACTCAACTTACTCCTCCTCCTCTCTTCTTCTCTTCTCGTCTTCTCTTCTCGTCTTCTTCTTGTTTACTTCCTTCAAGCCACTTTTCAGGTACGCCTAGTCATGTGATTCTTTATACGAGATAATCACGTGATAGATACAATCTGTCTACTGCCACGCGCTGCCCCGCCTTATGACCACGGCCCCGTGCATTAAGCGTGCAGAAACCCAGCATAAACCCAGCCTTGGCATGCGGCAAGTGCGTGGCTCGTGGCCCTTGCTCGGCCCACCCCGGCTTCCGTCCTCCGCGCTAGGCCTCTTTGGGCCTCTGACCAATCATCTTCCCGGTCCTTGCATGCTGCTGACTAATCCGCCTATCCTAATTTCTCTTTTTTCTTTTTTTTCTTTTCTTTTTCTAAAATTAATTTAATGATTTGTTAGTTTTTCTTTTTTCTTGCTCCTTTTTTTTTTTTTTTTTTCGACTTTCCCGACTTTCTTCGTTCTTCTTCCTGCAGAGCAAACAACATATATCACAAAAGAAGGGACAAGCAAGCAGGAGAGAAAAGGGCCAAAAAAGAATAATAAGAAGAGAGACAGGAAGGGAGTCCGCAATATCTCCCTCTATCTTGCAGCAGCCAGGTCTCTGCTGTTCTGTACTCTCGCCGGTCGTTACATGGGCCATACTTGAACCAGTCAACAAGGGGGTTTCTTAGTTAAGTTGGCAGCTTGTCTTGGACAGAGAGAGAGAGAGAGAGTCGAGAGAGAGAGCTCTCTTCTCGCCCGCTATATCTCGGTATCAGACGACAACGACAGCAACGACAACAACAACGACAAACAGCCATCAACCAGCGAAAGCATGGCCAGCGTCAACGGGAGCTTTGCCTCGCCGGCAGCAGATGCGTCTCTTCATGCCGCCGTCGCCTCGCCGTCCGGCCTCTTCATGGCCCTCGTCAACAACATGTCTGGCTGGGGCGCCGTGCTTGCGCTCTTCCTCTTCGCGGTCGCCTACGATCAATGTCAGTTCCCTCTCATTCCGGCGCCGTCTCGTCCTTTTTTTCTTTCTCCTCTGTCTGCGTGTGGGTTGCCGGTTGACTGACATGACCATCGTGGGTAGTTAAATACATATGGCTCAAGGGGTCAATTGTTGGCCCCCGGTTCAAGATCCCCTTCATGGGGCCTTTCCTCGAGTCCGTCAACCCCAAGTTTTCTGAATACAAGGCAAAATGGGCCAGTGGAGACCTCAGCTGCGTCTCCGTCTTCCACAAGTAAGTTGATCTCCCTATCTGTACCTTTATATTGTTATAATATACATCTTGGATAATGGCATTGTGCTGATGGCGGATGTCCCGGCTATGCAGGTTCGTCGTGATCGCATCTACCCGTGACATGGCCCGCAAAGTGTTCAACTCGCCCATGTACGTCAAGCCCTGCGTCGTCGACTCGGCTCACAAGCTGCTCGGCAAGACCAACTGGGTCTTCCTCGATGGCAAGGACCATGTCGAGTACCGCAAGGGCCTCAACGGCCTCTTCACCAGACAGGCATTGAGCGTCTACATGCCCCTGCTCGACAGCGTCTACGACAGGTACTTTAGCATGTTCATCAAGGAGTCCGCCGACAACAACCACAAGCCAATCCCCTGGATGCCGCAGTTCAGAGAGCTCATGTGTGCTCTCTCCTGCCAGACCTTCGTGGGCGACTACATGACCAACGAGGCCGTGGTCAAGATTGCCAACGACTACTACCTCATCACGGCCGCTCTCGAGCTCGTCAATTTCCCCATCATCCTTCCCTTCACCAAGACCTGGTACGGAAAGAAGGCAGCTGACATGGTCCTGGCTGAGTTCAGCAAGTGTGCGGCAAAGAGCAAGGTCCGCATGGCTGCTGGCCACGAGATCTCCTGCATCATGGACGGCTGGGTCAAGGCCATGCTCGACTCCGCCGCCTACCGTGAAAAGATCGCCAAGGGTATCTCTGTGCCTGACGCCGAGAAGCCAAAGCACATCCTCCGTGATTTTTCGGATTATGAGATTGCACAGACCATTTTCACCTTCCTCTTTGCCTCTCAGGACGCAACCAGCAGCGCCTGTACCTGGCTCTTCCAGATCATGGCCGATCGCCCCGACATCCTCGACAAGGTCCGCGATGAGAACCTCAAGGTCCGGAACGGTGATCGCAACGCACCCACCTCCATGGAACTGCTCGACCAGCTCACCTATACCCGTGCTGTCGTAAAAGAGACCCTCCGATACCGCCCTCCAGTCATCATGGTTCCCTATGAAGTCAAGAAGGACTTCCCAGTCACCCCTACGTACACTCTTCCCAAGGGCTCCATGATTGTCCCATCCGTCTGGCCGGCTACCCATGACCCCGAGGCCTACGAAGACCCGGAATCCTTCATTCCAGAGCGATGGATCACCGGGACGGCCGAGCAGAATGCAAAGAACTTCCTCGTTTTCGGAACTGGTCCTCACTACTGCCTAGGACAGACCTATGCACAGCTCAACTTGATGGCCCTGATTGGAAAGGCCAGTATGGCCCTTGACTGGGAGCACCACACTACCCCCCAGTCCGAAGATATCAAAGTCTTCGCTACCATCTTCCCACAGGTATGGTGCCGCCTCAGCTGATCCGTTCGCACATACTTCCCGCGATACTAACTTTTTTCTTTTTTTATAGGATGACTGCCCACTCGTCGTACGACCCCGACCAGAGTGAATAATGTCGTGAATGACCCATGGATGGGGTAACTTTTTTACGCCGCTACCCCCAATTATCGAAACAACCGGTTCGAGGATACACCTCACCTTAATACCTAACTAACCTGCACCCTTTCCCCCCTCCCTCTTCTCCTTCTCCTCCTTCTTCTCTCATTTTTCTACCCCTCCTCTTTTCTCCCATCACGCTGAATACATTATGTACGGTGATCCTTTTACAGCATGACGGGCTTTGCCTTGCACCCCACCCTTAACTCTATTAATGCCCCATCCCATCCCTTATTCTTCCCTTCTCCCCTTTAAGCTCCATGGAACTTCTACCCCAGACGTTCCCCTCCATCATATGATTCCCATACCTTTCCCTCTCTCCTACTTCACTTTTTTGACTTCGCATTTGATCTTCTTATTTCTTCCCTCGTCACGCCCTTTACAGTTTCTCGTTGCTTTTTCTTCTCTTTTTCATTTTTACTTCTTCGCAAAAGCTTTTTAAGTTCAGAAAACGGCTCGTATATGGTATACGAGAACAGTGCGAGCAACTCGTCTGTCTTGACGATTTGGTCTCGCCTTTGGAAATGGGAAAGGGGAACGGGGGGCGGCTTTTACGCATCGCAACAGCTAATCGGGGCATGCTACGGAGTGCATATAATACTTAATCGTTATTAATGAATGATATTCGGTGAAGACACCTCTTCCTCTTCTCTTACTTCGACCTCGCTTCACCCATGCTTCATCTTGTCTTATTTCTTTTTCCTTCCCGAGAACTTATCCTTAGCGGCTCAACGTCAATGTCAACGTCAATCAAAGTGTTTATCTTATTATTATTTTTTGGTTTTTTTTTTTCTCTTATTTATTTATATTTCTTACGTCATCATCCTCTGCTCTCGGAGTTAAAAGAAAACCCAAAATAAAAACCTTATTTCCCTCTTGCGGAGGCCCGGCGTCGACTTGCCGAGGCCCGCGACTTTTTTACTTCCAATCCTGCCTTTGATTCACCAGCATCATCAACCAACATTTTGGTCAACAGGCAGAGCAACAATGCTTTCCAACAGAACAGCCCTTCGTCTGTGCTCGAGGGCGTCTCGGCCTTCCACTTCCGCCGTTGCTGTCCCTGCCCGTCGGCTCCAAGGTATAAGGGTGCGAGCGCAATCTAACATTGCCGCAAATACCAGGCAAACTCCCTCCCATAAGACTATATATACCCAGCCAGCCCACCATGCTCGACTACTCTCCAACACCGCTCGTCTATCACAATCAAACAGCTCCTACGAACCCCTCTCCTTAAAAGAATACAAATTCGAAGACGTAAGCACCGCCAACCATCAACTACCCTAGCTATCTTTACAGAATTCCTGACAGCCAGCAGATAAACTCCGCCTTACCAACCCAAGACTCTTCCTCGCCATCCTCAAAACCAAATATAATCCTAATCGATGTCCGCGAACCCCCCGAACTCGAAGCAACAGGCATCATCCCTTCCGCCCTTTCCATACCCATCGGATCCCAGACAGACGCCATGTTCTTGACCCCGGACGAGTTCTTGACTCGTTTCGGCTTCCCGAAGCCAGGGACTGAGGGAGGTGATGATAATACTACTGCCAAAATGGTGTTTTACTGCAAGGCTGGCATTCGGGCCCGGACGGCGGGCGAACTGGCTGTTAGAGCGGGATATGATGCTGACAGAATCGGGGTTTATGATGGGAGTATTTTGGACTGGGAGAAGAATGGTGGGCGAGTAGAGAGGTGGGATGGGCCTGAGAATTGAGATCCTGGCTTGGCCTGGCCTTTTCTATTTTGTCTTGATCGATTCTTGTATATCTATACTGGACAAGTACTTGTATTATTGCATGGTGGCATGGTATGTGCAATTTGGTTGAACAATGGCTCACAAGCCCATTATGTTGAATAGTATAAAAAAAGAGCGAAAAGAAGGAAGAATGATAATTCTACGCGATCAACTCATGGAAGTTTTTAGATATCCCACAGGTAAAGGTAGACAAAAGTGGCAGACAAAAGGTCATTACAAACATAGCTTTCTTGCATGCTGGTTAACATGAATCATGGTGTCTTTAACGGGGTTGGCGGTTTGGCGCTGTAAGGACTTTCAAGGGATATCAAACACCGGCTTCAACTTTTTAATAAGTGCCCATTCTTCCATCGTCACGTCTGATCGGTAGAATTCCTTGAGTGTGTCTATGCTCTTTCGGGAAATCATCGAGTAAAGTGTATCCTTTTCTTCGAGCTGGCGGCCGTACAGCGGTTGGTTGGGCCCTTCAATCTTGATGGCAACGGAAGGCTGTCCCTTCTTGCAAATGGGGAGCTGCTTGTGGTCTCGTTCAATGGACATTCTATGCGGCCAAAGTTAGTACAAACGCATCTGATTACGGAATAAGTCGGAGGTAAAACTCACACTCTACCGAGACTAATGACTTCCTTCTGTCCAGTGGTTGGGTTAGTTTTCACTGCGGCAATGGGCGTTAGAAGACGGAGGGAGCCTTCAGTAACATCAACACCAATAACAATCGGATCCTTCTTGTTGAACACAGCAACTGGTGACAGGACGCAAGGGAAAACGGCTTGTAGCTTGCTCTCCTCCTTCCTCTGGGCTGCGAGCTCTTCCATATGCTTCGTAAAGTCATCGAACAGATGATAGATGATATCAGCAGTGAAAATCTTAATGCCATTCTCATCTGCGTAAGCCTGGGCTTCCTTGTCAACTTTGACGTCGAAGCAGAGCATGACGGCGTACTGCTTGGCTTTTTCAAGCATAGCGCCTGCACGCATCACATCACGCTTGTATACAGGTCCGATAGAGATATTGGCAACAGGAATCTTTGATGTCCTCAAGAACTCTAGCAAGGCTTCGAGGGAACCAAGAGTGGAAGCTTGAACGGCAACACCACGGTTGTCTCGGGAAACCTTGCTGAGGAGGTTCTCTAGATCAGACATGACTTCATCCGTAAGATCTTCCTCGTCGTCATCATGGTTGACCACAAGAAGTCGGGAACCGGCGATAGCGTGTTCAAGGTCGTTAGCAGCAATCTTGACACCGAGCGCAGCCTTGACTTCCTTGTTATGAACGTATGCAGATTTGAGTCGAAGTTCTTTCATTGGGGCCGGAGTGAGAAGGGCTCGAATATTCGTGACGATGGCCCCGTTGAGGCCGCAAAGGACGATACGATCTCCTTCACGAAGTACACCGTTGGAAAGGACAACATCAATAGTAGTACCGAGACCTTCAATGACCTTAACTTCCAGAACAGTACATTCCACTTCTGAAAGGTACATAAGTGCATTGGTCATACGCTCCTGAGTAAGAGTGACAAGTAGTTTCAGCATATCAGGAACACCCTCACCCGTATGGGCCGAAGTAGGAACCAGAGAAACGTTGCGAGCCATGGATTTGTTTTCATAGTAGAGCTCGGAGTTAAATCCTTGCTCTGCAAAGGCGAGCTTAGTCTTCGCAACTCGGTCTTTGAACTCGCTTTGAACTGTCTTGCTTTGCTTAGCCAAACTGTCCTGGAAGCCGTTGTTGTCAATCTTCTTCCAGCCGAACAATCTGTCTATTTTGTTTAAAGCCACGATGAAGGGAGTCTTCCTGTCACGCAAAAGCCTCATGGACTCGAGAGTCTGAGGTTCCAAACCGTGCATGATATCAACGACCAAAATAGCAATGTTGCAAAGCGAGGATCCTCTTGAACGCAAATTGGAGAAGGACTCGTGCCCAGGGGTATCGATGATAAGAAGTCCAGGGACCTTGAAGTCGAATTTGCCATCTTTATTAACGACTGCAGTCTTCTGGACGAGCGCGTCGACGGGGAAGTAGGTAGCTCCAATTTGCTGCGTAATACCTCCAGCTTCGCCTTCCTGCACATTGGTCTGTCTGATTTTATCCAAAAGTTTGGTCTTTCCAGTGTCGACGTGTCCAAGAATACAGCAAATAGGAGAACGAAGGTTGTCCTTCGACTGTGCTGCCACTGCTTCTTCGTGCTGCTTCCTTCTTCTCTCTGCTGCTTCTGCCTTCCTCTGTGCAAGGGCTTTCTGTGTAGATGTGACGTCTTCGTCCTCGGATTCTTCTTCCGACTCTTCTTCCGACTCGGATTCCTCGGGCGTACCGGCCTCTGGCTCCTCCTTTTCAGCAGCCTTAGGGGCTTCCTCCTTGGCCTCTGCTTTGGCTTCGTCTTCCTCGTCAGACGAAACATCCCAGGACTCCTTGATATCATCATCACTTTCTTCGGCCTTTTTGGCTGCCTCAGCTGCCTCCTTTGCCTTCTTCTCCTCTTCCAGTCGCTTTCTCTCAGCCTCCTCGGCTTCGTGCTGTGCCTTGGCTCTGGCTGCGGCAGCTTCCAGGTCTTCCTCCTGTTTCTTGCCTCCACGCTTCTTCTTATTCTCATACACTGGCTTCTTCTTTTCCGTGGGCTTTTCTTCCAGTCCAGCTACTACAGCACCACCGGCCTCCAGCAACTGCTTCATTCGCAGCTCATTTCGGTCTCTTGCTTCCTTCTGGGCCTTGGTCAGAAGTTTTCCTTCTCGCCTAAGCTGCTCCTTTTTCTCCCTCTCCTTTTCCTTCTTTCTCTGACGGATTTCCTCTTTTCTTCGCTCCTCTTCCTCTAGTTTCTTGCGCTCTTCCTCAGCCAGTGTCTTCTCAAGCTCTAGACGGCGTGCCTCTTCTTCCTGCTGCTTTCGCAGTGCCTCCTGCTGTCTCTGGATTGCAGCCAAGTGAGCGGGGATCTTCTTCTTCTTTCCAGCAGGTTCAGCAGCTGGAGTTGGGGCCGGTTTAGTCTCAGAAGCAGGGGAAGGTTTTGTAGCTTCCGGTTTGGCAGGCTGAGCAGCAGCTGCGGGAGCTGATGCTTTCTTCTTTGCAGCCTAGTAAACGGAGGCGTCAGTAAGGACCGTACACCTTAATCGTATAACTACCCAACGATAAGTTATATATCTCACCTGTTCCTTTTTCCTCTGCTTTTCCCTCTCTTTCTTCTCCCTTTCCTTTTCCTTCTTCGACTTCAGCTTTCCACCCTCCTCAGGTTCTGCTGGTTTGGCTGCTTCCTTCTTTGCAGCTCCCTTGGCTGGCTTTGGTTTTCCAGCAAAGACATCGTCATCGTCAAACGTGCCCTCTTCAGGTTGCTTGCTCTCTATGGTAGAAACAGGATCTTCTCCCTCCACAAAATCATTGGTGGGCTTTCCCTTCTTTGCCTTCTTGTTCTTGTTCTTCCTCAGAGCTGCGAGCAGTCCACCACCCAAGTCATCGTCTTCCTCCGGAGCAGCGGCGTCAGCTTGAGGCTCTTCCTTCTTCTCAGTCTGGTTTGCTGGAGCTATCGACTCGCCCAGTTCCGCTTCCCAGTCGTCATCGGCCTTTTTATTTGACTTCTTTTTAGGCGCCATCTCGGACCGGTCGTGTGTGTGGTGAGTTTTCTTTTCCTGTAAACGAGATTAGCAAGGAACTCGCCTGAAAAATGCCCAGGAGACAAATACCTCGTTGCAGCTTGCCCGGCGCTCCTTCGCCGTTCTTGTACGCGGGATTGATATAGAAGCGAGGTTTGTGGGTGACTTCGTCCCTCGAACAATGCTTATCGTAAAAAGTTGATAGCGGGTGGCATTTGTTAAGTTACTTAAAGGGACCCTGTTAAGGTTGGGGCTTTTCCGCCTCCAACTGCACCTTCACTTCTTCTGCCTTTTTCTCTCTTAGTACCTAGACTACCTAATCTCTAATTTTATAGCCCGTCTATACTGTGTTCCCTTGGAAGCGTCCTCCCCTTTGGCCATTTCACTCGACTGGCAGGCCGTCGTTAACTAGTGGGTTTTTTTTTTTTTTTTTTTTTTTTTTTTTTTTTTTTTTTCACTTGCCGCAAGCTAACTAGTTAAAAATTGTTCACAGTTCGAACGAAGCTCAAAATTACTAAGCTAAGCGCTCGCCTATTTTTGTGGCCCTGGTTTTGATATCTATTTGATATCTAGATCAGCATGCAAGGAGAAGTTATACTGATACCTTATACTCCGGTTCTAGGAGGCATCCAGTATGCTGGTTGGAGTAATACAATGATTACTTCTTGCCCTTTTCCCATGGAAGCGTAAGGTAGGATGTCGTCGAGTGTGCTTCAGCCTGTTCCCTTGTGTGGTGAGTTTAGCTGCAAGGATGCGCTGCCGGCCAAATGTAAATGTTCGACATTATTTTTGTATCCCTGAGCTGAAAGCGACGCAGTCTAGAATGAAAGTGCCTAAATTGTAGAATGTTGGAAAATGTTGAATGTAGTGCACCGTTTCCCTCCCTCCCCATTTTTTTTTTTTTCCGTAACAGCCTATGCAAAGTATCTCGCTATGAACAGCTACAAGAGAAAAGATAAAAAGATCAGGTATGGCATCAACTCTTCTATAACACGCATGGAAAGAAGAGTACGCCTTCCATGGAGAAGATACCTGCCAGATATGCAGTGTTGTGGCGTGCTAGATTTCAATCCGGAGCATATTCTCCATCCACATCAGGATATCCGTAAATGGATCGTTTGTCTCGCCTACAACCAGCCTGGCGAATTCGATGAATCTTTCTACCTTCTTTTCGGCATATGCAGGCGGAGCATTGTCTGGGGTGGTCCTCCGCATCATATCTTCAAGATACCTGGCTCCGCGGCTGATAAGACGAGCAAGAATGTCACCGTCAATATGCATGTATTCAGGCTTATCTGGCAAAGGGCACAGTTCGTCCACAGCCATTCGGCGTTTGCGGCGGAAAGGGCAGATATTGGTGTCCGCAAGACATGAATATTGAATGAATCGAAGGATCCGCCATTCGTTCTCCGTGAGCATCTGGAATCGATAAAGCGTGCCATCCAGTGTTGTACCATAAGCTATCTCGCAACCGCCAGAGTGGGGCCGGAAACTGCGACATACTCGTACCACTGCGGAAGGGGTGATGGCAGAAAAGACGGGCCTAACCAGCCTATCATCTTTTAATCCAAACTCCCTTAGGCCGATCACTGCTCCGCCGCGGTTAGCTGTGAATATAGTCTTGAGTTCTCCGTCAAGATTCACATGGTCAAGGCCCCCTTTATCAACACCCGCTTGAGCATGCAAAATTAGCCCCTCTTGCGTCGCTCGAAGGACAATAAGCGAGTGGCGGGCGGTCAGGACGTAGATAAAGGGCTCCTTCACAGTGATTGAAACCGCATGGGATTCAAGATGGTGAGGCTCCAGGCTCCGCCATTTTCGAGTGGATGGATCCAGGGTCTGCATTAGCAAGTCATCTCCAGAGGCCACGATCAGGGAGCTCGGTCCGAACGAGGTTATTGTTCGGACTGGTTGGTTGTACATATGAATGCGTTTGGTCATGCAATCAATATTCCCGATACCTGGTGGGTTTTGTCGAACTGTAATGTAAACAACTCTCCCTCTGTATTCAACACAGATGTCTCTCCCTGCCTTGTATTCGACCTGTGGAAAGGAGGTTCCTACCACAATCATGTGGTACTCATTTCCTTCGCCGTAGAATTTCCAATCTACCAACGCTGTCACTTTTTCACCGGATGCTCCGACAGGTTGGCGGGTGAGCACTGTAGGTGCGGACGATTCATTGCCCCTGGTCCTAAGATCGATTGGTGCTGAAATAAGCGTCTCCCCATCAGGGTCTAGGAACCCAATCTTGGGCCATATCCAGCGTTTGGTGCCCTCCGTTGACGAAGTGAAGTCAAAGTCCACCCTATTATAAGCCACAATCAACTTGTTCAAATATTCGGAATACACGAGTCTCTTCGGATTTCCCCGGACACGTATCTCGCGAGGAACAGCTTTCGCAACTTTCTCCAAGCTACAGGCAAAGAGAGTATTGTCGGTAATACATAACAAGGAACCACTAAGGCCCGTGGCTGGTGCCTGTGCAGGTAAATCAACGCAGTTGAATATATCGACAATAGGCTGCATCTTTTCAGGCTGTAATCCAATTAGCATCACTTTTCCTAGGCACGATCAGTTACCAGTGGCTTACCTTGCTTTGATCAGTGATCCAAACTTTCTCCAGAGAGTAATGCAATGACGCCTCAATGGGGCTGTGTGATACCCTCCAAAGGCCTGGACCACAAGAGACGACAGCCAAGGTTTTATCAGATTCATAGCCTCCAATTCGAACAGAAGTTTCACCGAGTTTATGAGGCGGCAATTGGTGTATTTCTATGGAAATATGTATCATTCAGTATTCCTGTTCGGTTACCGCCCGAGAATTGCTAATTACTTACCGAATGAAGTATCATCTTGAGTGACTCTGAAGGGAATCAAATGCCCACTCCGGAGGCCACAAAACAGGACCATCAGCCTTTTCTCCTCGCCAACAGTGGATATGAGCTTTAGAGATTCGAACACCGGTGAATCAAGGTCATCCTTGCCCATCATGATCCCACGTTCAAGGTGAGGAGTCAAGCCTTCCACGCTATCTATTGCCATGATCAGGAGTTTCCCTTCGCTTGTACCAATAAAGAGATATAATTTGCCGCCAAGCTCCTCAACGTCGAAGCAAATTGGTTCCTGGTCGAGAGCAAGAGGCAGTCCAATGAGGGTACATTTGCACCCGTTTTCATCAGAATTGACGCTCCGGAGTTCCACTCGAACATCGCTACCGTTTCTTATAGCTACGACAACAAGAGAGAGAGGCCCACTGGTGAAGGCTACGACGGCTCGATCGTTTGGATCATCCCATGTTATAGAAGATCGTTGCTGGAAGACAACGTGGCTCAACCGAATTGATGCATCGGTGACTTGTATTACAATACCGTCTGGCGTTATACTGGCTGCTAGCGTTGGGTGATCAAGATCTAAACCACTTCGTTCTTCGTCCATAGCAAATGCTTCTTCAGTGCCACTTATTGGTATAAAGATCAAAGAACTCGTCATAGGGTCTGTTAGCAGGCAAAGGGTGCCTTCTCCTCTAGGGACAGGGATTCCCCATACTCCTGTTATACTTGAACAAGCTCCATGTTCAATATTGAGGCCTATCTGTGCTTCAATGCCATATCTCAGCTCGGATATAGTGCCGTGATCAGGTCCAACACCGGAGCAAGTGAAGATTCGATCAAATGGTAGCCCCATGCCTTGTTGGGTGTCTCTGGACAGTGGGTTTGTAGTAGGACGTCTTGCCTTTATCACGGCAGTATCTAGGATAGGGCCCCAATTCGGGACTCTCTGTATACATCTTGGTGGTTTTCGGGCATCTTCAATAAAGAGGCCACCACCGCACATGCTACCGGCGGTGACCAGGACATCTCCGGCCTGGTATCCTTCCGGGAGGATTGCAAAGGCAGTATCAAGGTTACAGCCGAGCGAACCTAGATTCGACTGGCGTTCTATATCTCCAGACTTGCCTATCTCCAGGTATAGAATCATACCGTCTTCCCGACATAGGTAAATATCGTCAAACTGGGAGTTTCTAATCCGGTTGCGCCTGGCTCGAGCCCAGTGAGTCCAAACTTGGTTTCTCGAACGTGGGCGATGTTCTAAAGTTGGGAAGGGGCAGTTCATTGGTACGACTGGCCCATCTGTATTTAAGACATTTTTGTAGATGGACATGGTCGAGTGTGTTGCAACCATGAAAGAAGTCGAGTGAATTAGGGGTATCAGAACTGTTGGCAGACGAAAATGGTTAGAAAGCCTAAGGCTGTTGATCCTGGGGTCCACAGATCGCAGCGTTTCCATGGAAGCCCAGTCGTAAGTAACATAATACGACTCGGAGTCTTGAGCTATAAGCAATAGAAGGATTATTCTGTCATTGTCTGGTGGCGTTGGGTAAAGAAATTCCATCCTCAAAATATCGCCGTCCGCACGGAAGAAACACTCCTGTTCATAGAATACCAACGTGAGCTTTCATGACCAAGGGTATTAATGTGGGAGACATTACCTCCTTGATGGGATTTACGGGTCCTTGAGCCATTTCTGCTTGGATCATAGATGAAGATTTCAGAGAGAATACACCAAAGAACTTTTGTGCGGCACATATGGCCATTGCTCGTGCCCTTGTATTTGTTAGTATTACAGTCTTGCTTTAAGACGGAATGTTTCAACTTTACCGTGGTTCCACAGCGATGTGTCTGCCATATTCCTCCAGAGCACTCGTATCCGCTGGCAAAGGGCGCCTAGAATAAACGAACTCAGGAACACCACGAGATCCAGGCTTGGTAAACATAAAAAGAATTTCCTTTGAGCTTAACACTAGAACCAATATATGAGGTGGGACCTTTCCTTCATCTTGTGATTCTTGAGTAGAGGGGCTTGAGATCCTTCCGCCTTGTTTTATTTGATCTTCTAGCTCGGGACCTGGTTGAGAGTTAATTATTTTGGCACCGATAATCCTGGAGTCGAAATCAGACTTGGTAACCACTTCTTCTAGGTGGCCGCTTGGTACTAGCTCCTTGATCTGGATGAATTTATCTCCAATGAACACAACATCATTTTGATCTTGGTGTCTGAGGCGAGCTGGGAGTATCCATTGAACCGCAGGCCCTTGAGCAAGGGTTCTGGACAGTATTCCAGTAGCAGGTGTTTGGGCCTTCTCTGCTCTTCCCGAGATACTGTCCGATTCACGATTTCGAAAGAGGAGTTCTCCAATATCAACCGTCCTCGTGGCCCACGTCCCATTGACCAAGACGGTGGTTTGTAACGACATCGTGAAGCTCAAGAAAAGTTACCGATCCCTGGTAGACAGAAACAGAAGGCTTGCACCGATAAAATAGGAATTAGGATGAGACCTGAACATAAGTTCTAAAACAGAGGCGTTCCTCTGCTTAAACACGGCCTACTTGGTAACCACCAATATGCGGTATCCTGGCTATCCTCCGTGTACTGGATCTGGGCTGCCTAAAAAATGTAGAACCATGAGGCAAATTGTAAGTATAATGAAGGCAAAGACTGGAAATGGGGTCCTATATAGAATCCTAAATGCACTGCGGGGTACTCCATACACTATTTGGCTAGGAAGGGAGTCTCTATTAGCGAAGTAGAAGACCAGGGCTTGCTTGGTCGGATATGGTAGTATTGCTAGGCTTATTTTCCCTTGCTGGAGATTTTGTGTGTCTGTAGATTTAAAAGAGAATTAACAGAAGGGCAGCCGAGGTCATATATACCACTCTACACCAGTGGTGCCTCAAGAGGAGTGACGAGGTATCGGACCCTCCAAGATAACGCAGGACAGCGAGATGGATGTTTCATTTGGCCATGCCGGGTATAATAAAACTGCATTCCCAGTAAGAAAAAGAATAATCACCGTTGGTCCTAAGGGTGGGCTGGGATGTTCGTTGTATACAGAAGCATCACATAGAGTACACAAATGTTTAGCGGGTTTTCGGGAGGGACTAACCCACTGTGAGGCTAACTAGACGACCAGCAAAAAGGGCGCCGCAGAAGAACCCCTTGTTGTTAGGATGTTTTGGCGTCGCGAAAGCCCGAAAAGACGGAGAAAAAGACACCCCCCAAGGACACCTGCGCTTCCCCGGCCTCGTCGAAGAGAAGAAAGTCGAGCGTGTCCTGCTTGTACTTCCTCGTCCTCCTTGTTCTTCCCGCTACGTCGATGTTGCGACCTCCCAAGTGCCCAGGTAGTGGACGGAAAAGTTTCTCGGAGCAAAGTTTCTCCGCCCCAGCCAACCAGCGGCCGAGAAGCTGCGAGCCAGACGTTACGCCGGTATCACCAACACTGGACAGCATCGTCCATAGACGTATCGTTCTCCAGACGGACCATTCAGATAGCTGGCATTTCTCGAGCTATAAGTTTTTCTAGAATATAGGCTGGACGCTGCCTGTCATACCCATCTCTGCAGCACAGATATACTTGCATAGCTGGCCTCTCGACGCTTCACCCCAGGCATAGCCACCACCTTTATCTTGCAACCCCGTCACCTGTGGGACCATCACTGCTTGTATACACGCACGACCACCCCTTGATTGCTCGGCATGGCTCTCCTTTAAGTCTGATAGAGCTTTAGCAGGTGCTTTTCCCCTCCAACGGGGTATACCATATATACCAACATCCATATACAGTCATCTCAGATCGAACCCCTGGAAAGGTTCAACCAACTCTTGTTTTTTTTCTCTCTGCCCTTTACTTGGCCACTAGACGAGTCTGCGTTTGATACCCTCAATACCTTCACAGTTGCATTCCTCTCTCAGTCCACCAGATCTGTCGATGGGGGAAAATCTAGAAACGAATCGTGTAATGGCAAACGAAGAACCCAAGGCAGGAGATATCAATTCTGGTCGGCTGCTTGCCGATTCAAAAGCCTACCGTCGGAAGAGAGCAGAGATCGTCAAAGCAAGCAGAAAAGGAGATGTTGAGCTGTTAGCTAAGCTTGCCACCTCTGAAGGGGGTTTGCTGGAAGATGACATACGAAAACAAGTTTGTAAGATAGGAGCTTGTAGCGTGTTTTTGCATTTTTTTGCCGACGGTTTGACTAAATGCTTCTTATCAGGGCCAATTCTTCAGGGATATGTACGTGCTACCCACACACTGGAACTTCCACCACTGTCTGAGCTGCCATGCCACGGCGATGAGGTTCAAGTCAAACTAGATGTGGATAGATCATTTGTCTATTACCCCAATTGTAAGTTCGTCAACGTGGACACTTGTCTACGGAGAGTATATCCTGGCAGATGCACTAATATTATCCTTCAGATAAGACAGAGAAACATCTCAAGGATAAAAGAGATGAACTCCTAGACTTGATCGTATCAGTACTGCGGCGAAACCCTATGCTTTGCTATTTCCAAGGATACCATGACATAGCCCAGGTCCTACTCCTTGTTCTTGACCGTAAACATGCCTATCAAGCTCTGGAACATATCTCTCTCTTTCGCATAAGAGACTATATGCTTCCGTCTCTCTCTCCTGCACTTACGCATCTTCAGCTACTACCCGCCATCATCACATCCGTAGACCAGAAACTTGGCCAACATTTATCCGGCACCAAACCATTTTTCGCCCTTGCTGCCACCCTAACGCTTTACGCACATGACATCGAAGAATATGCTCACATTGCCCGGCTCTACGACTTCATCCTCGCCCATGAACCGGTTGTATCAATATACCTGTTTGCTACCATCATTCTCTCAAGAAAGGACGAACTGTACGACATTCCTCAGGATGAGCCTGAGATGTTTCATGGCGTCCTGTCAAAATTACCCCGCCCACTGGACCTCGAGACCCTGATCTCGAATACGGTACGGATATTCCAAGACCATCCGCCTGAGAAGCTCCCCTGCGGTGCGTGGAAATCTATACCCTCCTACAGTGTCCTTAAAACGCTGAGAAACCCTGGCTTGCAGCCAACTCCGGATCAAGCAAGGGGCTACTTTCATCAGCAGATCCGGGGCCTGCAGCGGGAAAAGATGCGCAAAGATGCAGCACTGCTTATTCGAAAGCATTCTTTTTCTATCAAGCTTGTGGGTGCCACAGTTGCTGTCGGCATCCTTTCATACTGGATGATAAAGCGAGATCCCGACCTTGTAAAGCATCTCTGGCGTTATTTAGGGCCTCTAAAGACTACCTTGAGTTTATGATCAAGTTAGGTCGCACTCTTCTTGTATATTAGATAAATGACACTCATGTATGCCTACGAATAAAACACAGAAAACTCGTAAAAGTTATCAACTGCATAGACCTTCATCTAACTGCCATGCTCTAGCCCCATGCTACAACGCTTACATAAGCCTTATGTTCAAGCTGTCTTCTTTGCCAGTCGTCATCTCGCAGGCTCCAACATCACCGATATCTGCGACATTACAATTCAATAGCAAAGATGGCCAACCGAGGCTACGATGCAGTAGTGGATGTTGATGCTGAGGTATGGGATGCTGTTACTGTTTTCTTATTTTTCTATCAGGGCCGTTCCCCAGACTAATTGAACTCTCCATAACAGGGTGACCTTGGCCATACGGACCTTCAAGAAGACCTTGAATTTCATTCCTCAAGTACGACTTGTGCCTCCCTGGAATATAGTCCTTAGATCATGTCCCTATTTTTTTTTTGCCAGCGTCTAGGCGATTATATCAAATCTAGCTAACTCAAGCACTTTCGCTCAGATTTCGATGAGACACCACGCAACGCAAAAGGCCACCCAGATTCCTCATCTTTCCTCGCCGGCTCATCTTCTCGACAAGGGGGCGGGTCAGGAGGCGCAGGTTCCAATGCGAAGATCTGGAGTATAGCATATTACAACCGATACTTCGACGTCGACACCTCAGAGGTCTTCCGACGATGTGTTTCGACTCTCTACCCAAGATCCAATTTCCTCGATGTTCTGGATGGGAACCCCGATCTATACGGACCGTTTTGGATTGCTACAACTGTGGTAGTAATTCTTTTCCTGACCGGTACTGTCTCTCAGTATCTGGCGAGGAAAGGCAGTCACCATTTCGAGTATGATTTCCGCCTCCTCTCCGGTGCTGCTGGACTTATTTACGGCTACACTTTCATATTGCCCGTTGCTTTATGGGGGGCTTTACGTTGGTTTGGAAGCTCTAGTGCGGATTTGATTGAGTGCTGGGCGCTCTACGGATATGCCAATTTGATCTGGATTGTCGTTGCATTAGTGAGCTGGAGTCCGCTTACTGCGCTGAATTGGGCGCTTGTTGGAGTTGGCTTTGGCTGGACGGTGTTCTTCCTGCTGAGGAATCTTTATCCGGTACTAAGTGCTACGGATATGAAGACGAGCAAGATATTGCTTATTGTGGTCATAGTGCTTCATGCAGCCTTGGCTATTGCCATTAAAGTGTTGTTTTTTGCGTAAGTTGAAAGACCATGCAATCCTTTAATACGCGCGGACGCTAACAATTCGCATTGTAGTCACGGAAGTTATGCGAAGAAGCATGACGACGACCACGATGACAAGCATGATAAGGGTAACAAGCATGATGACAAGGACAAACACTCGCGCTTTTAAATTTGAAATGTTATATCCTCGGAATACCCTAGCTCTTCAATGACTGATGAGCTTTCCCTTGCAACACTAATTGAAATATCCTTCTGAGCGTCTTTCGAATGCTGTATTATTGTTTTTTGCTTATTGACACTGTATTACTCCAACATTCTCATAGAATCTCGCTTCCGTAGGGCAGTAAGCTTGGTGAGACTTTTTGTTGAGATGCTATCTAAATAGCTCCGGGTATTGCCAATTCTAGGAAGACCTTTTCAATTGGAAATGTAAATAAATAACATAGTGCCTCTTCTTCCTTTGAAAGGCGTCATTATGTCATGTTCACCCAAGTAAAACACCATACCACAACCTCTGGCGGAACCACGCAACAGAAAAGCACCAGTTTACTTCAGCTTCTTCTTTGGTCGGAGTTGGTTTGTGTGTCCGCACTTCTTCTTTCGGCAGTTGGTGGCACGTGGAGGGAGACGGGCCTAATCAGAACAGGAGACACATGGTTAGTTACATATCCAGAAGCTGCAGATGCCGGTCATTAACGCTGGGTGTATTGGTCACCACATACATAGCACTTTCGGCAGACCATCTTCTCGCAGTTGAACTTGGAGGCGAGGGCCTTCAAGGAGGGCTCGATGATACCACCGGGAAGGTCGAGGACAAGGTGAAGGGTGGACTCCTATAAATCATTCCATCCGCATTAGATACCGTTTTGAATTCTCGTCTGTTTCGCCACACATAATCTCGAATAGATCGATATCTTTAAGTCTTCCAGGTGCTGTTGTTCAAGCATACCTTCTGGATGCCGTATTCGCTCAATGGGAATTCATCGCGGATGTGCTTTCCACCGAAGACGTATCGCTGTTCATCGACAGAAACGAGCTCTCTCTCGAAAACCTGGGACTTGATGGCGGAGATAGTGTCGGTGGGCTCTGCGTTCAGAGTGAGAGTGTTTCCACTCAGGTTCTTGACGAAGCTATCGATTGAAACGAAAGGGGTCACATAGTCAGCCTTGCGCATCCCAAATTCATGGATCCAGCCCTCTTTTCTTCATATCTCCAATGTTCTTAAAGCGTTCGATCGGAGCGATGGGGGTGAAGGGTTCAACCTACATCTGCACTACATGGCAGAAAACGAGATACGTTAGAGATCATTCAGGGAAACCGCGCGCAACTAATATGAGAGATAACTTACTGTTGGCAGTGAATCTGTCGCTGTTTTGCTTCGTGGTTTGCCGATACTGCGTCGGACGTTCAAGATAGCATCAAGATTTCGAAGGTGTTCGCTTAGCCCGTGGGAGCAAATACCCTAAGCCCTACTCTCCGTGCTGACTAAGCGAATCATCCAACTTCAGCCTTTTGAAGGGCCGGAACCAACGAGCAACAAAGATGTGATTGAAGATAATGATAGTAATATATATCGGAGGGTAGGCTAGCTGGATTTTCTATTCAAGTCTAGCATAGAGCATTGGGGTTAATTATTTACTATCTCCGGCTTTCCTCCTTTGGAACGTGAATTCGGGCCTCTGTCTGATACACAGCAAGGACCAGAGTTTCCAAAGACACGCCAATGGTTTTCGCGGCAGTATCATAGAAATTCCTTGCAATATCTGGTAGTTGGTATTCATAACGGAACCGCAGGTAATCGCATCCTGGTCGGGGGACAGGTCTCATAAGCCTGCTAGCCTCTTCTTCAGTAACTACCCTCCTAACTCGTAAGCTGGATAGGACAGCCTGCAATTTTTCAACTACTGCTTCATCATCCGTCTGCCTAGCTTGGTTATCCGTCTCGGTAGCTGCTGCTCTAGTTGTTGGAAACATCTCTGCAAAAGGGTTGGAAGCCTTGGCACCTATAGAACCGAATTAGCAGATGGCGCGCATTGGGTACAACAAAGAGGTCATCCTTACCTTTATCAGCAACCCAAAATCTATCGTACCAATCCATGTATTCATCTAGCTGTTGCTGTGTCATTTCCATTGCATCCATCTCCGTAACTTGCATTGCAGCACCATTTGTGAGGAATCCTTGTGAAATTCCCCTACGGTCAAATGTACTTTGAGCTTCAGCCCATTTTTCCCAATCTATAACTTGAACGGAGGGATCGTTCAATGCCTGTGGGTATCTTTTGACGTTATCAAATGGAAATAGAAGCTTAGTAGCAACAATAACAAGACATATCAGCTGCACCTCTGGTAGGTATATCCGATGAAATCTCCTAGTTATTTCTTTTGGGAATGTGTATGTAAATTCCACGCTTTTCATAAGCTGCTTAACAGCTGAATACACTTCGACTGTAACGTTAATTAGTGGAACGTCATTTGATAATGGTTATAATAGAAGCCCCTTATCGGTCAACTTACTAGGTAGAGCGAGTTGCTTCACATAAGAGAAAAGGAGTAATGATGAGTTAATGGCCGGAAACTCTATGCTAAAATCACGGTGGTATAGCACAATCAAGTCCGCAACAGCTCGATGAATTTGATCCCCAACGGGTAGATTCTGGTATGCATGTTAGACGTTATGTTTATAGATATTAAAGTAAACGTAGTTAGATCTACCTTTGTATCAAATGCGATGTGATATATTGCAGGTAGCCTGTCTTTCATGTCTGAGGGTATAAAGCGGAGAGGCCTCATGAACGGGATTTCATCCTCAGCAACCCATTTTTGCATGTACCCAATGCTCACTGGAAGGCGGAGTAACAAGGTACCCAAGTAGCAAAGAGCCAAAGAATCAATTACTCGAGGTGAAGTACTGAGTTTCCGCTTGTGATACTGGTACTCTTCTTTATCAAGTTCGCTTGACACGCCAGTCTGAGAACTGAAGAGCTGGGTCGAATTCTCATCGTCAGTATAGATATCATCTCTCCCTTCATAAATCTTCTCAAGCCGGAGAATCCATAGATCCTTTACAATCCCCTAGACATCTCTATATCAGCAAAACTTATTCGCACTATATGAACTTGATGAAGCCTTACCTCGAGTTCTGAGGGAAGCCCCTTGACATGAACCAGAGCGTGACATTGTTTCCACAGCAAAAGCTGATAGGCTTCCAGGAACAGCTGGAATGCATCACTCCCATGATAAGCTTTAGCAAGTGTGCATTAGCAGGAGTAGTTAAACCAACGGTTTGGGTATATGTCTTGCAGGTCTTACTTTTGGATCTCCGTTCAGCCTGGACTTTCTTCCGTCGGGCTGTTCTGCCGTGGCCGCCGAAGTTCTCGTCGTCTACGACCACTTCCTGGCCCTATACGTGCAGAGTAAGCAAGACAGGTTGGATAATTATTTATTAGTCTAATTCTTTCATTTACCTGCTGCTGATGCCCTTGACGGCAAAACCACAGCCCGTTTTCGATATAGTAACGGGTTTCGCGGCAACCTTCCTGGCCGCAGGTACCGCGCACCGACTCCGCCATCAGAAGTGCATTTTCGCATGTAGTTA